AAGGTTTTATTTTGTGACTCCTTTAATGAACGCAAGGACTTGTAGAGGCCATAACTGTCTACATTACAATTCATTTGTGCCCAGCTGTCTATTAGAACAGAGCCAAGAACAGACTAGTTCTTTTAATCTCCAGTCTTTCAAGTTTACAGCAGTACTTGTATAAATAATTGCTACTTTTGCACAAATAGAGGTTGCAWTGTGAATCACAGCTGTGAGCAGCATTTTCCCAATGTAATAGAAACAGGAAACTCTGTAGTCCAGAAAAGGGGTTCCTCTATAGATATCTCRAGGTCCTTTTCAGATTCCCCTAGGCTGAACACGTAGTATTAATGTTATGCCAACTTTGACAATCTCTAAACTTTGTGACTTAATTCTGCACTTGTGTCCTCCCAGATCTAGTGATTACATCAAGTATGAGTCATTACTGGCCTTCAGTTTGCACTCATCAATACCAGAGCACCTCCGTACACATCTACATTAGGGTAAGCATTACAGCATATTGGTATAGTGTTGCATACTTGGCCTAAATAGAAATTGGAAGCTTTCCACAGCACAGAGTTTCATTACTATACGCATATCCAATGACTGGACTAATGGCTCAGTGCAGGACTTCCCCGATCCTGCTGCTAATTCTACACTGTCTCCCATGGTCCCTCCAGAATCACACACTTTTACACCAGTTGGCCCAAACTTCTCTGCCCAAAATTGCCCTTGTGCATGTGAAAGTCGTCTCCCCAAGGTCCAATTAAAAGACAACAGGATTAACCATAGCAGACCTYTGCAACACCTGAGATTAACTCTTACAAATCTACAGGAAAAGTGTTTGCAACACAAGAAAATGGTTGCTTTCCATTTCAACAGCAAACAAATTTCTCATAATTGGTATAGTATCTTCAAGAGATCACTTTGTGTTTGCCAGCCCTGTATTGCTAGTTCACCCTCTTTATTGAAACTCCAAGGGAGTCAGTGCTTCACTACAGTGCTATTGGTTTAAGATTATCAGTATTTATCCATGTAGAAAATATTCCCCATGCATTCTTTTCTCTGGTAATCAGGGCCAGGGAAGATGTGTCCTCTTCTAAAAGCAAGCAACAGTGCATCTGGCTGCAACCAGCAATTCTGGAACCACCATGAGCCAGAATGTCCTTGCTGGGATGCAGCCCACTACAGACTTTGTTATCGTAAGGGCTTCCCATCTACACAGAGAGGCAGCTCTACTCGCCCATTCTCAAAGCACTTATTTTGGATACATATTTCCCAAATCAAATTGAGCCAGTTATTTTTGCTAACTTATTTTGTAATTACTATCAAATGTCACTATCTGCCCCCAAACACTTCCAAGGCTACACAGGTTCACACAGTAGGCATGGGGTTGGGAAAGACCCTGCTTGGGAAACTAGGAGTTGGGACAGGAACAGCCCCTGGAGGCTTCGCACACGGATCAGGGTGATCAGTGTGCCAGCTCCTCCGGCAGCGCATACCGGGCATGGGAACGGGACCATGGAGGGTGAAGCTCATCAAGAGCTCCTCACAGCTGCAGCAGAGCCATAAAACCACTATTTGCAGACTGACGCAGGAGAAAATTGTTTTAGAATACAGCAGACTCAATCGTGTTACTTGGGTCTGCATCACTGAAACTGSATCTAATTAAATTACGGCTTTCAATAGCCACATCAATACAAGTGCCTCTGATGCTGAGAATGGAAAGAGATTTCTACTTAGTCTCAAAAAAGAAAAAAAAAGATCTATTTTTACTCCAGAATCCTAATTCTCCCCAGCTGGGACTATTTTTTTTCCTCATGGAACACGCAGGAGCAATGGAAACAAGAAAAGGGGATTGGGAAGAACAGCCAAGGCCTCTCGCTCGCATCTACTAGAAAAAACAAGGAGCAAGATAAAGATGCAGCAGATTGCCTGGATGCTGCCCCCTCCAAACACAATGAAAGTAAAGGTCTGAGGGGACATTCACTATGGTTTTGCCCTTAAAGGGTAGCTTTAATCATATGCTCAAGCCATACCCGACCACATACCAAAAACAAAACAAAAACCAAAAACAAAAGAAAAATATTCACTACAACTTTYGCTCGCAGTGCCAGAAAACAGCAAACTCCCTTCCCGTTTTCATACACATTACCTTTGCTCTGGTATCACAGGCGCAACTTTGGGCCTTTCCTCACTCCTAGCTGGACCAAGGGGTTGGAAGATGAGCAGCATTTTTCAGAGCCCAGCAACACTTCTCCCAACGGTGGGCAAGCAGACATGGGTGAGCAGGGAGGAACCGCGAGCACTGAGCCACCTAAAGCCAATTTATAGCCTCCTAGTTACCTCCTGCTCCTGCAGAACCATCAGCAATGAGCCACCTAAAGCCAATTTATAGCCTCAGAGTTACCTCCTGCAGCTGAGCTGAGTGAGGCAAAGGCAGCAGCATTAAGGCTACCAGCAGCCTCCTGGGTGGTGGGAGAGCTGGGTGCCAGCCACTGGTGTGACCAGGATGAGCAGGGCACTGGCTGGGGGCTTCCCTGCCTCTCTGCACCCAGCTCCGAGGGGAAACCAGCACTGACTAGTCAGTATCTGCACTAATTCATATGTATGTGGGAGTTTCTTACATCCAGAAAAACAGAACATACCTCCTCCCCGGTACAGCAAAAAAACCATTCGGCAGCTTAGGTAAAAACATCTTACTCTCCCATCTACTGCTATTTATAACATTTTAGCTATTTGTTATTTACATTCCAGACAAAAGAAAACCTGATGTTTCATGCTGTCATTGGCCCACTCAGATTTCCAGCAAGCATGCAGATATTCATTTCTTCTTCCCTGTAATGATATACTTGAATTTCCTCAGTCTCTGGACACACTGGATCTGCCAAGAAACATAAGATTCAAGCACAAAGAGGTCGGGTTACATAGATGCAAGAGTACGTAACCTGCAAAATTAAGCAGAACATATATTGTTCAGACAGGTCACATAAAACCCATCCAATTTTGGAAAAAATATTAATAATTTGAGTTTTTACACACATAGGTTCTTATGTCCCAAGTCTGCCATGATTTTTTTTTATTAGGATTCCAACTGTTGCCTTCCTCACAGTTTTACTATATTGCACAGACCTTGGGCAGCTCTTTTTAACTCACCTCAAACAGGGGAGAGGGAAAGAAGCCAAGGAAGGCCAGGGGGAACTACTTAACTCACTTGTTAGGTAGGTACAAGAGGCCACATAAATCCAGTCCAAGCCAAATTTCTTTTCCACTAAGCCTCTCTCATGCAGGTTGATGTATATACTCATTTTCTGTCCATTTTACCTCGCCAGTAGAGTGAACGGGACATTACTGTAGATGGGAATTGGGCCTCCTATGAGCTAGATCAGTAGAAAAAGAAAAAAAATCCAGTCCCACCCAGGGGAAGTCCTCATCCATCAGTGAGTCTTTGTTGGACACATCTATTTAAGTTGAATCTTTGGCACTGTCTTAAGAAAAAGCAAACATGTAGTACTAACACTCCCCACACTGCAGCTAAAACTAACAGGGCACATGCTCTAAGTTGGGCAAATCATTCTTCTGGTTATTTAGGACAAGGTGAATGTCAAGTTATCTACTATACATCTTTCCTTCCCTTTGACTAGTAGTACAGCACAACCATTTCTCTCTTTGAATTTCTATAGGATACAGTGCTGATGAATATATATTTTTTCACAACAGAGCATTTTTCTTATAATAGTATGCAAAGTCTCTTCTAAAACTTTCTTCATCAGTTGCCTGTCTAGAAAATGAAAAGTCAGTATTACCACCTGCCAGATCCTTAACATGATTGACTACGGTTGCTTTTTGTCAGCAAAAGGTCTCCAAGTAACAAATGACTTGTCCACTTGTTCTCTGACAAGAAAGACCGTTGAAGCTGGAACATCATTTACACTCAATCAAATACTAATGCTGATGGAAAACTCTGGGTTTCAGTCTCTCCTGAGGTGCCCCAGCAGGACCAGATAAAGGTATTGCCACGGAGCACGCGGGCTCGCGACGCTCGCTCCTGCCGGCCGCCTCGCACCAGCCCTGCTGCTCTGAGAGGCACTGCCTGGAATGACAAACCACACACGYGTGTCCTTCAGTCAGCACATCTCTGTTAAGCCCTTGCAGAGCTGCAAACTATGGAAAACACAAGATGGATGGAAAAGGGTCACTTTTACTRAAGGGTAAAAAACACCGGAGGAAAGCTTGCTTACCATGTAGATATCCCATACTTTACAGCTGGGGAATATCAATAATTTTTCTCCAGGAATGGGTCTTTATGTTGTCAGATTTGTATTTTATTATCAATAGGAAAGTCCCAATTTAAGAAATGACTTATTTGAAGTGGTAGAAATTGGCCTTGGGATATAATGAATACAGTACATCTCTCACCCTATAGGTGGTGTTTACAAGATTTTAAGTCTCAGTACAAATATTTTACAATATAATAAAATAGTTGATTATGGCATAAAAGCCATAAGATTTGACTTCTCTGTAATTTTATGTACAGTACATACTGATCAAAATAAGATCTACTATAGAAAAGAACAGATTATTAAAATATAGTGTAGTAAACATCAATATAGCGTAGCTACATATTTCATTTAAAACATTTTGCAGAATAGTTATAGCTGGAACAAAGAAAGCTTAGAAAATTTCAGTGCTGGARTTTTGGGKTTTTTTTTCCTTTTCCTTTCTTTTCCGTATCAGTTGCAAAGAAGTTCTGATACTCCATTCTAAATTCTAACAAATACTTTGCTTATACTATGCATTGTCACAGCCTTGGGCCTCATCCAGTTTCCTGTGGAAAGAGGAAATCCAGTTCAAACCTTAGATTGTGCTGTTTCTAAATGGCATAATACAAACTGCCAGTTTAACTAGCATTTTCCTCTGCGTCATTAGTAGCATAACTTAAGTCATTTTCCTGAAGAATAAAAGTGACTGTCCCCTGCTTCTTATTTAAAATCACAAATGCACACCCAGGGGTCAAATAAGAAGTGGTAACTATGATATCATTATTCCAATGTTTCCTCTTTGACATTCCTTTAAGAACTGCAATACAGCCGATTCATATCTGTAGTAACCTAAACAGAGCAGGGTTGTATAAAGAGGAGTTGAAGCACCTATGAAGGCAACTACTACAAATAGCAGTATAAGCTTTTATACCAAAGCATGATGTTCTTTGAAGACCTTGGTCTTGCAAACATTTAACATTAAGCATATGAGTAGTCCTACTAAAGCAAGACTCAATCATAGGCTTGTTCACTGGTGGAGTTTTCTTTTATTCATATATGTTTTCAGGTGACAGATTATAAAAGCTGGAAGGAGGAAAATAATCCTTTAATATGAGGTGAGCTAACCATCAGTGTACACACGCAGCCTTCAACACAGCATCTGAATGCAGAGAAACTCCGTGATGTTGGTGGCTGTCAGACCATGAGATTTGGTAGTAAAGAGAAATTGCTCAAGGATTTTTCCTTTAGTGGCAAAAACCGATACTCCCAAGTGATCTCTCCTTTCTAATGCAACATCCCGCAGATGTGACTAAATCAAAAAACCATATCTAAGAAAATGTTCCAGCATATAGCACATGTACTGCCTTCCAAACCCTTCCTCGCTCATTGTCAAACGATGATGTAAAGAATTATGTAAGAAAACAAACAACCAAAAAAAACATAACAATTAACTTAATTTACACAACCAGTAAAAAAAAAAAGTTTGAAGCAATGATAGAAAAATAATATAAAGGCTAAATACGTTAAATGCCAGTTCAACAGTATAAAGCTTTGGTAGAGCAGGTAAAGAGCATAGCACCAATAAACTCCAATGTCAATACACGCCTCAGTACGCATGAGCTGTGATGAATATGTAAATTTTGGCAAGGAAAGTGGTGTATGTTCCCTGACGCCACAGTTTCATTTCAACATCTAATAAAAAGTCTTTGGGCTCCTTCACTTGTCGCTGGAGATAGACGATGCCCGTGTAGGARTTGAGCCTCCTGGTGCTGAAGTAGTTCTCCTCATTTCCCTTGTTGATGGTAAGGATGATGTTGTCCCCAGCATAGGCAGGTGACGGGCCAATACGGAAGATATGAGCTGGGACCACGATGTTGGTTTGGAAGTTCAGCTGATAGTAGGTAATACGCACAGGGGTGTTTTGGCAGTCCAGGTAGTTAAAGCAGCTGATGCGCTCACACCTCCTAAGAGAAGAAAAACAAATTGGTTTCACTGTCCACGCACTTATGAGTGAAAAATGATGTATTTCAGTGAATAACAAAGTCAAAAAAAAAAAAAWCTCAAGCATGTGAGGGACAAACAGCTGACTATGCAAATGTCAGCTGAATAGTTTATCCTTGTGTGTTCTGCCTTTGCAGAGCTGCAAACATTTAYAAACGCTACAGATATCAGAGCACAACAGAGTAAGAGATCCTGGGGACATCGAGAGCAGCACTTGGGAGACTCCCATGGGTGCAGGCAACTGGGGAGCCAGGCTGTGCTGCCAGCAGCCCCGCAGCGCCGCAAGGCAGTGGCCCAATGCTCTGAAAACCAAAGCATGGCACCTACAGACACACACGAGCAAAGCTCCTGAACCTGCAAAACTGCTAGTTCTGTGAAGCAGAAAAAGCATCTTTTATAAGTGACTCAATCACAAGCAACTTAGATTACCCCCCTGAGAGTTTCACTCTCAGAAGAGGCAACCTCCGAGRAGCTCTAGGTCTATAAGACAGGGAGCCCAAAATACTGTCTGTCTAATGGCCGGCAGCGTCTGCTGTGAGAGCAGCAACACGGAGCATCCTGTGTCCGCCAGACGCTGGCCCTGCAGAGCGCCCGCGGCCACGCTTACATGTCGGAGACTTTGCGGTAGTTGGCCGGGCACTCGAAGGACAGGCAGCGGAAGCCGCCCTGGATGTTGTAGCAGGACTCGGCAGCAGAGCAGTTGTGGGTCCCGAGGGCACACTCGTCGATATCTGGCAAGCAGAAGCACAAGGAAGGTCACACAGAAAGTTCAAAACCAGACAGTAACCACAATTTTATGGGCCATAATGTGCCAGTGAGATGGGTCTGTGTGTATGAGAAGCAAGAGAGCCCCATGATCTGAAGGGGCTCACGTGTTGGCAGCGAGGCCACTGTCTCACCCCTTCAGCAGTTGCAACGGGTACCGCAGACATCCCAGCACACGGGACATGAGCTGCAAGTACAGAGGAGCTGCGCCAGGCTCAGCTTGAGACCCCAGCCCTCCGCACTTGGGAGCGATAGAGGAAAGTGTGTCGATCCCACTCGCTTTAAACTTCAAACATYTTGTGTGGAAAAAGCTGATTTTCCTCCTTGACACCCTGTAGTCACTCCCGAGAGCTGACAGTCCCTTCCCTCCCACRCAGCCAGCAAGGGCGCCCGCGGTCCTGCCGCGCGTCCCGGCCTGGCCCGGGGCTGCCTGGCTCCAGCCGCGGCGCGCGGCCGGCCCTGGCGCTTTCCCTCTGCAGAAGGGTGACTCTTTACCCGGACTCKGCAAATATTTGCATGATTTGCAAATCTAACCATCCTCATTCCAGGTTTGTTTTAACTGTGGGATAGAATAAACATAAAAAGGAAAAAAGTTCTTCAAACCCCATAGCCGCCTCTCTTGCYACTTCCCGCTGTAACAGAAAAGCATCCAAGGCTCAAAGCGCACACGAGCRCGAGGCAGAGCTGTGTGTGCTTTGCCCTCTGTTTCCTGGGCTGTCAGAGGCAGTGGTGTACACAACATTGTGAACTAGGCTGAAGGGGAACAAAATAAAATAACCTATTCAATACGAGCTCCGCTTAACCATGTTCCTAAGTGCCTCATCCACACATTTCTTCAACACTGCCAGGGTTCAAGACAGTGACTCCATTGCTTCCCTGGGCAGCCTGTTCCAGTGCTTGACTACTCTTTCTATGTATTTTTTTTTTCCTAATATCTAACCTGATCCTGCCCTGGTGCTACTTGAGACCATTTCCTCTTGCTTCAGCTCTAGTTATTTTGGAGATCAAGCCTCGCCTCACTACAACCTCCTTCAGGTAGTTGTAGAGAGCAGTAAGGATTCATGCATCCTTCTGGGACACCCGTCTGGAGAACCCTCCACCTTAGCAAAGACATATCATCAACAGAGGCAAGTACTAAGTTCATCTACATGTTGGTCTAATGTGACAAAAACAACCCCTCAAGAATAAACAAATCTCATCAGAACAAGATCAAGTGGTGTTTAAAGCAAGCAGGTCTTTCTCACCAACTTTTTGAGAGTTGAGAAAGCTGGGCTAGGTTGGGGAAGGATTTATCTACACATGAAAGGTGCTTGGCATCAGAGCAGGACGTGAGCACAAAGCAGAGCCACTGCTGCCGTTCAGCTGCATGATGGAGGAGTCCCACGTGCCACAAGGCTGTTATGAATATGGCAACTTCAGAACAACACTTTAAACACACACAGATTTAAAAACTTAAGTTAAACATAAATATTTGCCATAAACAAGAAGTAACGTTGCAGAAGACAACAAAGAATTGCCAAAGCTCAAAGACACTTATTGGCCTAGAGCATGGATGTGGTTACCTAAAGAATATTTATTCACAAGCCCAACCCATGGTCCTTAAAATGCTGAAAACCAGATGCAATAACAGCGCTCCAACTTGAGCAGAAAATATTGGCAAAGCTCTCTCAGTCACAYTGTGTACTCCCAAAAGTCTAGACAACGCACGGACGTTTTAAAATGAAATAAACGTTAACAGACCGACCAGGCAGGCTGCATAGGGCCCTGCAGCTCTGCCAGTTGTCGCAGAGGAGAGACACTGGGGGAGAACTGTAACCTCCCTCCCCTTCCTTCCTTGGATGAGAACTGGTCTTGTGCGCTGCTCTGAAGGTTAGAAGTCCAAAGAAAAGTATACAAGAGGAAGTGAGAGAGAATCAAAGTAAATTAAACCCCTTACTGATTCTCAGAAGTGCCCTCAGGTGAAAAGAAAATTTCTTCCATATTGTGTTTATTGTCATAAAAACACTCAGTTCACCAGTCTGGCTATGGTGCAAAAATACCATTCACAGTTCCTCCAAAACGATCCATATGTTGACTCTCTATTCAAGAAATTTAACTCATCTGAGACAAGAAAAAAAAGAAAGTCTCAAGAACACACTACTAGTACCTCATAACCCAAGAGCCCGCTGTCTGGCAAGCAGTTGGGGCCAGGTCTTGGGCTGATGGATACAACTGCCTTGAGGTTAGTCCAACTGATATCAATTCAGACCATCCTTTTGACCACCTTTTCAAACAGGCTTCACCACGAGCTGGCTCATGTTGCACTGCTCAGCAGTCTACATTGGCTTCACTCGGGCCAAAAAATGGGAGGCACTCAGCGCTGCTCTCAGTGCCTGACTGGATACAGCACAAAGTTGTCCCACATGTGCCAAGCCTGACAAGTCGGCTCCCTTCTCCCAGGAAGGGGGACACTTGTTCCAGGCACTACAAGTCCTTTGGAAACTTGCTCCAAGTGTAGAGCTCACTGTGCAGGACCAGCCTGCATGAGGGGCACCGAGTGCCATGTCACACCATGAAGACCCTGCCACCGTGACAGCCTCAGGAGAGCTATAGCCACGGATTTTCTAAAGGTGGCTTTTGGAGAAGTTAAAGCATACCTTGGATGATGATTCTGAGGTCTGATATAACAACACCTACAAAAAGAAAGCTCCCCCCAGGACCAACTCCCTTGGGAAGATTCTTGCTCTCATTGAGTCACTTTCTCTGCTACAAGGGTAGGATCAACTATGTTCAGGTCCTTGTGATTTATGCAGTGTAAATTCATTGCAGTTACCAATGAGAATTTAAGTGCAGAAGATACATAACAAAAAAGTTATGTGGAGGGTTCCTGAAATCCAAAGAGCAGGAAATGCCTGGCAGTTAGTGTAACTGGCTGCAGGGATGTGTGCAGAGTGCATGAARGTAATCAGCTCTTCCATCATCATTACACCGTCAGTGCATCCTTTGGAAATGGGGGGTTCACTTCAACCCAGACAGCTGCACACCAGATGAAAAGCTCCAGACAGCCAGCACACACTTCAGTGATTCTGGAAAGGATGGGTGGGGGCTGGAGGGTACATGTCATTCACATTAACATTTACTACAGCCAACATATTCAAGCTCAGATGGCAAACTTCAACATGTCCAGGTCCGCACTACAACTCCTAGATTCGCTCTCCTGGATTTCTGGGGTAGGAAGCTCCTGATGAAGCTGTGGATGTGGATGTACACATCTGCCACTTCTAAAAAATTAGATGACTTACTGATGTGTCAATACTGATAGCACATGCAAGCAATCAAATGCCTCAACTTGCTCAGTGAACTCACTTAAGCAAGAAACACCAAGAAACTCACTCAAGCAATTGCCTTACATTGATAGGTGAGTTGCAACAGCTACTGCTTCTTCAATCCATGGAAAAGCTGGCACTGCAGATTATCAATACATGGCAAGTTTGTCAAATACTAGCCCTTTAACAAAGACTAGTTACCAAAACGGAAACTTGACCTTCTGAAATGTCTTTGATCATTCTAAAGATTAAAGTATCCTGTTATCATCCTTCCAGCTCCCCAGGCTCATCATTACCTCGGCAAGTGCGTCCATTTGCTGCCATGGTATATCCCTGCTCGGGACAGGCGCACTGATAACTGCCAGGAACGTTCACACAGCGGAAAGTACAAAGGATGCCTGCACTTTGTGTGCACTCATCGATATCTGGGAAAAAGTACAAGCATATAGAAGAAGTTACAAACTTGAAAAGGAAGGCTGAGGAGCACAAGGAAATTATTACGTGACACACATAACACACTTCTCTTAAGCAGGAATGAATGCAACCTTAAAAGTATGATGTTGCTCTAGGACACTGACAGTGCTTTCTGAAATTGTGAACATAGGGTTTTGCTCCCCAAAACACTGTCTGCAAGTTGTGGTAGGGACTGATGGCACATCTGAGCCTAAGCCTAAGGCACATCCGAGTCTGAAAAACTCTTCTAACTCGCCCTCTGGGATTGCTTTGGGACACATCCTTCTGCTTGAAAGAATGAGGATTTCTTGATCAGTTCTCAAACAGAGGCCTTCTGGAGTTAGCATGTAAGAGAAACACGTGTGTGTATGACAGCAAGCTGCGTTTCCAACAGCTAGAGCCGCCCTGTGCAGCTTCTGCAGCAGAGTATGGTACAACTTAGCCACCCCTGGGCACTGCCTGCAGCACRAGCTGCTGCTGAGATTTAGAGAGCACTTACTGCTGAAGAGCATAAACATGCTTAACTGGATGTGGTGGAGCCACAGCCTTACCTTTACATGAGTGCCCATCTTCTGCTAGCTGGAAACCTTGCCTGCAGTAGCACTGATAGGAACCGTAAACATTGGCACACTCCTGGCTGCAGGGACTTGTATCACATTCATTCACATCTGTATCCAAAGCAAAGCCAAAACATTGCACAGCAGGTCAGAAGAGTAACTCCCACCACATCCTTTCCCTGGGAACAGCTGTTACCGGATCCTTCTGCACAGTGCAGATAAAGGGGRAGTAATTCACCCCTAGTTCAGGTTCTGCCCCCTCGATCCCATTCTGTGAGGCATGAGGGCACGTGCTGCACTTGCATATCATTTCTATGTATGCCCAGGTAGGCACATGCAAACATGTGTTTCACATGTGATATGCTGCAGCTAGTAAAAAACATGATTATTTTAAAAAAAAAAAAAAAAAAAGAAAAAAAAGAAAAAGAAAAAAGAAAAAACCCATAAAGTTGTTCAAAATTTCCATTCTATTCAAAATCTGAAGCTTTTTTCCCAGTTTTGTCACTATTGATATGTCTCTGGTTTCATTTTTTGTATGGCTTGAGTGAAAAATCCCTGATTTTACTATGTTCTCTTCTCTCTCATATGTGAAGAAAAAAAAGTATGTGAAGGAAAGGAAGAAAGAAGAGAAACAAAAATGAAATAATCCAAGCTTTGCTGTAGTTTAAGTATTTCAAATGAAACCTAAAACTTTGACAGACACTTGGGTTATCTTTTAAAGTCACTTCATGATGAAGAAAAAATATCTCCCTGTAACATTTTAAGTGCTATACCCCATATATGTTGTAACTACAAGAGTTTACATCAGCTTTAATGCTTCCATAAAAGAAAATAAATAGTAATACACTCAGAGTCATTATCCTTGCAGGGGAAACAGTGACTTTCTGAGCACTGCAACACATCTCAGTCATTTGTATGRCTGCTCCACTGGAGATGCTCTCCAGCTCCAGGATTGTATCTTGGTAGCTACTAAACCCGTGCTGCTCTCTGCTCTTTATATTGCAGTACCTTCCAAAAGTGCCCTTACCCAAACCAGTGAAACAGCTCAAGAACAACAAGTGCTGTGGGAGAGGAACTGTCAATTGTGAAGGCAGAATAAGAGCAGCCGAGCACCTGGCCTTCTGAGGGGAAAGGATGGAAAAGAAAATCACTATACAGTGAGTTGAGAGTAAAACGAAGATAAAGAGAAAAGAGGCACCCAGCCTGTRTATCTTAATCGTTTAGTGATATCATGACCCTGAACGGGCACCAAGGAACTGGCAGCTCTGCAGGCTCGTCAGGGCTCCAGCTCACGCATGGAAAGCTCCCTCACAGCACATTGCKGGTGTGCTCAGGACAACGGACTGGGGCTTGTTAGCTCCTCTCTGCCATCTTGGAGGCTTAATTCAGAACCTACAAACTCAGCACACTTATCATGGGGCTATCACATTTATATTTCACCACAATTCCTACTCTAGCACCCGTTGATTCACACCACAAACTCTACAGCACAGGAGAGCTGGTACCTTCGCAGTGCTTCCCATCGTAGGACAGGCGGAAGCCAGAAGAGCAAGTGCAGTGGTAGGAGCCAGGCGTGTTCTCGCACGTGTGCTGACACAGGCGCCCGGGGTAGTTCCAGCACTCGTTTATATCTGCAGCACCACGAGCAAATATACAGTCAGTGTACAAGTAAAARCACCAAAGGAGATGCAGGAGGATATTTTAAAAGATGTCAGAGTGATTTGTAGACCACAAAATGCTGCAACTTCAGTTTTTATGCCATCCACCTTTGTGCTCTAAACGGTCTATGGCAGCAATAAAATCCAAAGTGCTGCATCATGGTCTCTTACGGAGAAGGTTGTGAAGACTTCAGGAAGATAAATTTCCACAGTGGGGGAAGCATAACCTATAGAAAAGTGCTTTGCAAACGACTTTAATCAATAACCTGCAGCCAAACTAAACCAAGGACACCTGAGCCGCAGGCAGCACCCCGAGGAGCAGGGCGCTACCTGGCTGGGGACACTTGGCAGCAGCTCCCAGAGTGATGCCCTGACCCTCCAGCCACTCACTGCAGGACTAATCACTGTGTCCTCTGCAGKAGTGCTAGCAGTGCTGGAGGTCCGAGGCTCAGCCAGCCCGTCACCCCCTCGGCCTGCACCYTACGCACCGATGCAGCTTCTGCTGAACGCGTCGTACTGATAGCCCATCTTGCAGTCACAGCGGTAAGCGCCAGGGATGTTGTGGCAAACCTGCCCTTCCCCGCAGCGGTGCACCCCGGTTTGACATTCGTCCACATCTGCACAGAGACAGCCATTAGCTTAGTTTGCTGAATGTCAGAGTTTACAAAAAAGGAAAAAAAAGGGAAAAGAAAAACAGAAGCAGAAACTCTTAGGGTTGTCCCCTCAACACAGGAGGTAGAATATTAGCTTTTCCACTCTGCTTTTCTCAAAGTCAGAGGAATATATCTCTAAGTCAAACTTTGAAAAGGAAAATGATATTTCAAAAGTGAAAATGCAATGGAGATTTCATGGCATATTCTGCATTTCAATGTAAACACATTTTGAATCTGATCAAATCATGACATTTAAATACCCTATTCTGATGTTCTCCATTACATGAGTCATGACAAGCCATTTAAAACAAAACAAGAACTAGCCAGAAATTCTGTTCATCCTTTGACTAAATCACTATTTTCATCTCCTCTTGCCCTTTCTACCCTGCTTCTGCTGCCCACCTTTTGCTCTTTTCCAAAGTTGATCTCTTTTCTTCTCTCTCTCACTCAACCCAAACTTTGATATTCTTCATGGCCTCTCATTCAAAATACAATATGAACAAATCAGGTGCTTCTTCACTCATATGCATCACCACCAATCTCAGTTTAACAACCCTCAGAAGACAATGAGAGTTTTCATCACGGGCTGATTTACAAGACTTAGAACATGACTATACAGCTCACCAGTATCCAGCAAATCCCCTGTTACCATCTGTGATAAGAAGCATCAAAAACTCTGACCAAGCCTCCAACATTTGTATTTATTATAGTGCCATTTGGCAGAGTTCTGCCTTTTTCTAAGCCACAAGATCTTTCCTGCTTTCCTTCATCCATTTCTTTAACTACTTCAACCCCCCAAGCCTTGGTTCATGAAGTATTAATTAGGATGGCAGCCAAGGCATGACTGGAGGTTCACCATACAGTGGCCCRTCTGAATTTACAAATTTTGCACCATTTCATTTCAGCGAGTTTCTGGGCAGATTCTCAATCAGCAGTCTGAGATTGCTCTGGAAAGCAGTCACTTGCTGAGAAAATGATAGGGAAATATGAGCAAGTTTCCAAACCCATACTTGGAAATTTGGAAAAGTGGAGATAATATTAAACCTGGTGAGAGATTCAAGCAAATACTGTTCTTCTGAACTCTGACTTCTTCACATTCAGTCCCTGCCAGCAGCGGCTTAGTGAYGACAGGGAACGTGCCCAGCAAAGAGTGCCTGGCGGACTCGGATTCCTGCCGAAATGCTGCCTTCTTGTTTTCTTTCAGATCAGAGGAAGCATCAAATCAAGAAAGTTTTCAATGCAGACACATATTTTATATTAGAAGTTTTATTTGCAATGAATTCATGCAAGCAACCATTTCATTAGTTTGTGCTAATTAAAAATTATATATTAAATTAAATTTAAAAATTATATATTCTTTTGCATACAGCCTTTAACTGGTTCTGGGGCACTATCCCATCAGAAGTATGCTATATTTCATGGTAATTACCGTGCTTTTGAATTAAATGTAAGMGGTAGCTTTTAATAACTGATTTACTGAATGAGAAAAAACGAACATTTCCAAGGAAAAATAATCCTCTAAATGGAAATGACAACAGAAGTTTAGTTCTGCTCCAGAAACACATCCAGATGACGTATTTTATGGTACTTTGAGTAAATTTGAATTAGGAGTCCAATTAACCATCATAATACCTTCAAGAAACTAGTCTTTACCATAGAAATGGGAAATTAGGACCATATGCTTTTCCTTTTTCTCCTCCATACTCTCTTCCTACTTAAAGGAACGCATACCAAGAAAAACAGGGCTGCAAGCCGAGATCTTGCACACCCAGCATTGACAGGGGTATCTCCACGTAACATGAAACATTTGTTTTCCTAAAATTAAGTAGAAATGTTGCCATATTCYCCAGAGAGTTTCTCTACCTCTGCCCTTTAAAGGCATTGTCAAACATGTAAATTAGAAGCAAAGTAACATTACTAAATACTTCGCATCAGATCATCTCCTCATGCCTTAAACCGCTGTATGACCCTAAAAGCAATCTCAGGGTCCCCTCACTTCAGGTGGTGCCAACTGGCCCAGACTTGTTGACTTTGCTGAGAATCAGCTGAAGATGCTTCCCTACAGGACAGCTCTGCAGACAAAACTCTGCACCTTCCTCCAGCACAGCCAGGGTGTCTCAGGCTGGTCTATAATAAAGCAATAAATGACACTGCACCACTTTGCCCTGAGCTTAGGGAACACTGTAGGTGTTTTTTAGGGTGCTGCCTCCGTTTCCTTGGCTAATTACATTAAATATCCCGTTCTTCTGCCTAGTTCCAAATTTCACCCATCTTCTCACTACCCAAATACACACACATAAGCATGCCAGAGAGAGAGGGTASTAAAGAGCAAAGAGGAAGAACTGGAAATTTATTTAACTGGGGCCCTCTGTCTCTCCCCCTGTTTTTCACTACAGTTYTCTCTCCAGTCTCTTACAGGAGGGTTTTTATCAGTTATGAATGCAGCTGTGAACAAGTCCCAAAAGTTTTCCTGTCTCACCTCCCATTTAAGGATAAGTAGAAATCTTTAGGATGCCATCACTAACTAAAAACTCTTTKGGACACAAAACACTCGTTTGCCTCTGAGAGGGCCTGCGGGCAGGGGCAGGAGCCTGGCCTTACCRATGCAGCGGCTCCCGTCCTCGCTGGCGTGGTAGCCTCTGCTGCACGTCAGCATGTTCCTCTGGCAGGTGTAGGAGCCAACGGTGTTGATGCAGTTGAATCCTGGCTTGCACGGCTCGGGGAGGGATGTGCATTCATTAATATCTGGTGAAGAAAATGAGTTAGCATGCTGAGAGCGACCCTTCTCTTCCAGCTCTCGCTTCTTTGCATTAATTTTGATTTATTGTACCACAAAGCTAAGGCTGATGAGAGTCTGTTACAGCAGTCCTTTCAAATTAATTATGTAGGTATGCCTACCTTCAAAGATCAGCAATGTTTCGACTTAATTCACTGCAAGATTTAAGGAAAATTGCACATAATAAATGTACACCCACTGGACAGGCTAAAAGGAACAGGAGATGGGCAGTGCTGCTGCACGTACTGCAGACACACTGCTGGTGGCACCTACCAACACAGTTGCCCTCGGGGTCTTGCAGAAACCCGTCCATGCAGCGCTGCTTCGATTCACAGTAGAAGGAGCCTTCTGTGTTCTGGCAGACGAAGTTCACTCTGCAGCTATGAGTCCCTCTCTCGCATTCATCAATGTCTGTTAATGAGATCAAGATCAAAGAATTAACGTGTGTCTAGTCAAGCTGCAATTTTCCATAGGCTTCACAACTAGTTTGTCTGCAAGGCAATTAGGGAGCATCACTTAAACCAGACTCCCAAAASAGCTTGCGGTGTCACACTGAGGTGTGGGGATGTCACTCTTGGACACCTGTGGGCTCCTGAGCTGGGCAGGTTCTGCAACCCATGGGACTATGCTGGTCCCACTACAGTGTTCACTGAACCTCTGCTCATTTTAAAGCCTCAGGGATCCAGAATAARGCTAGAAATAAGGGCACACAAACCACACACCATGCTATTCCAGAAGCAGATTGGTTCTTCTGCTCCTCAGCCCTCAGGGATTCTAGATAAACTCCTGGCTAGGCTGAATCAGATGCTAAAAGGACCCCTGAGTTCAACAGAGGGCAATTTTATGTTGCACACAGGGTGCACATAGAGGTGCAGAAATACACAAGCCCAATACCCAACCACTTCAGAAAAGTAGAAGCAGTAGCAGCACTAGTGTCAAACCTTTTTCTGCTCCGCAGCCAGCCATGGTTTCTCATTTGCACTATTACATGAGATTATTTTCCAAATTTTCTCCACCAATTTAATGTCTGCTTGCTAGATACACTTCCTACAAGGCTCAAGCTTAGCAACTCAGGCGCAGCAGATCTCCGCTGAACAGCTGCAGCATCGCTTACAGCTCTTGATTGAAGGATGGAGATCCCAGTATAAATACAGGCAAAGTTCACTTTCTGGGAATGTTTTCTAATACTACATTARCATACACTATTTCCTGAAGACACTCCTCATGATGAATGCATTTACTAGACAAATCCAGTAAACTGTGCTGTTCAGGAAAAGAAAAGAGTTCCCCAGGCAGACATGGGAGAGCCCCTGACCCTTATATCTTTCTGCTCTAACCCCTCAATTTAGTGCTAAAGTCACAAGAGAAGGCCACCAGTCTTCCAGAAGGTAGTATRTAATATTTTAAACCTATATTAAACCAATCTTTGAGTTATATATACAGAATGAGTTACAGAAAAATGTGGAACTCAATATTTCATAAAATGTGGGAAAATCAATAGTTCTACGCAGACAATTTTACACTGAGTAGTTTTGGAATAACAGTCCCTTTTATAAGCCATTAATTTAAAAGCTATTTAAAAACAATTTGTACATTTCATAATCTATTATAGCTACAATCTAAGTTCAAGAACTAATATAGATTGCTAATAAACATTAGAAATGCTCCAAAATCAGACACCAGCAGAGGGACTCAACAAAGACTTTTCAAGTAAGGCCACGTTTACTTAAGACAGCTGTGTGTAAAGTAGCAATTGTGATMATTTCTATTTTATAGCATTTGTTATATGTCAAGCACTAACTTCTTTCCTTAGGCTTCCCCTTCTCCAGCTGTCAGGAAACTGTAAAAACATTTAGGAGTAAATAACCCTGACTTGTGACCTAAGGAGGGATCCTCTTCGGAGCGGCTGCAATGCTCAGTGCTGAGTTCAGCCTCTCCAAGAGTGTCCATTAGATCCCTGTATAGACCAGGAAGGGAGAGGCAGAGGAATAACCTCTTGCCCCCGTGTAAATAAATGCAAATGTAAATAACTGCGGGCGGGCGCCCTGAGCACAGGGAGGGCTGGGCTGAGCCCCTGCTCCGTCAGAGCAAAGTGGAGATCCCAGAGCAGGGCAGCAGCAGCAACAGCTCACGACAACCCTTAAAAGCCAGGCAAATCCTAAATCAAATGGCTCTGTGCATTTCCAAGTTATTCACCATAGCTATTGGAAGGTATCTCAAATAAAAAAATTCAGCAGGGGCTTGTGAAGCCTAACATTTCCATAACGACCATTTTTTTTTTCTGATTTGATTCTAATATTATAGACCAGCAACCATAACATGCTCTACGGTCCCTTTCCTTTCCCGATTAGTAACAGCAATTGCATCAAGTGCAGAGAGTTCTCCTCACCAATGCATTCCCCATCCTTCAGTTCAAATCCCGGCTGGCAGCTCAGCTCCTGCAGGCACTTGAAGGAGCCCACGGTGTTGACGCAGTGCTCCCGCCGCTGGCACGTGTGCGCCTCCGTCACGCATTCGTTAATGTCTACGAAAAGCAATGAGACAATTCAGTGCTTCAGGTTTATCAGTAAATCTGCTGCTTCCTGCTCGCTTTGGGAAGGAGCCAGAAGCCCATGTGAAGCCATTTCTTCCAAAAGAAGGTGAGTACAGACAGTGGCCTGATTTAAGGAGGTTAGTGCGGAGCTGCTGCAAGAGGGGGATTTCTAAGATTTCTAAGAAGCAAACAGAGGTGGAGACTGGAAAGAGCAAAAGAGAAGCTTTTCTTTTTTTTTTTTTTTTCCTCCTTTCCCAAAACTTATGCACTAATGACAGCCCAATGTGACCATAACTCCCACCAACCATCCAGGTTCTCTGCACACAGAGCTGTTTTCATTCTACCCAGTAGAGTAAGGACAGTTTAAATCAGATTTTCATTTGGGCTGTGGAATGTCACATCCAGGTAGCTACAATATCAGACCTATCATAGCCCCTTGCAGGGCACAAAGCCAGGAGAAKTAATTTTAAAAGCTTTTGCCTTATAAAGTGCATCAGCTTGTTTTCTGCTGAACAGATGAAGAGGAGCACTGAGGAATTTCAGCCCACTAGAGATGTGTGCTGAGTTTTGCAGGACCGGTGTGTTAGCTGGGTGCCACTTCACTTTGCATTTACTTCAGCTTTATTTTCCTTTGCTAGTGCTTTTCTTTGTGTGCTCTGTATTTGTTTTCCAGAGCCAGCAGGTTCTCCCACAATCAGGACATCACTCTGGGCTTGATCCTTCCCTCACAGTCGGGGGTATTTCCACGGTGCAGCAGGTACCTGCCTACCCCAAAGCTTGTAATGGGGTTACGGCCTCTACAGTTCCTCTACAGTTTTGTGATTGCAGCACGTTAGCATGAAGTGTAGACATCAACATTCTCATAAGATGTCTTGGAAAAGAAAACAAAAAAGCATTCACGTAGCAGGAGAAGAGTATGAGCTGCCCTGGTAGATTTGTCCCACCTAACTAGACTTATTTCTTAAATAAATATGAGATTAAATATATATATAAGCAACCACTTAGCAGCACAGACTAATGCAATTCTTTCTACTGATTTAAACAGATTCTACACCAGACCTGAAAATAAGGGGGGCAAGATTTTACAGCAGGCCAAAAAAAATAGCATGATTTCATGTTTTGTCTGCAGTCAACTTTAAGCTTTCTCAGTCCTTAGGAAAACAAGCAGAGCTGGCCTGAACATGTCTGAGGAAATTAAAATTACGGAAACCAGAAGATTACCTGCAGAATTTTGTTTTCAGGGAAAATTTTGTGCACAAGGGACAATCTGTAAAAGCCAATGGTTATGGCATGGGCAGGGAGGCAAGATTTAAACCGAGTCAGTGCTGCTCGTTCCAAGTGTGAGGGTGGGAAGAGGCGGCTTTGGAGATCCCAGTTCAGTGATCGGCCTGTCCGGGGGCAGCCCRTGGGCTCGGCAGCTCTGCTCAGCTGCACCTACCAGCCTTGCTTTGCTCTACCACACGGTACAAGGGAGGGCTGAAATGGAGAGTTCTATAAAACATGACAATCTCTCTCTCTCCTCTCTCTCTGCCTTTCATTATCCATACAACCAAGTGTGCCAATAGCCTGCTGCTCTTCAAGAGTTGGAGACAACACAACAAGCCAGCAAGATTCTTGACAGAGCACTAGAAAAAAAGGAGTTAGGGTTTCAGTATGAGACYGAGTTAATGACTAACATCAAATTGGCTTTGTCTTCATCCAACACAACACAGTTACAATGACTGTGGGATAGGGTAAGAGGATTTCTACAAAAATAGGAACAACAATAATAGGAACAATTCAGTAATATACTGAAATGAGAATCATAGTTAATTTTTGACAGATTGACTTGGTCTATGTTTGTGGTAGCTACATTCCTCTCTCTGTGTCAGTAAAAATGGAGTGAAACACAGCCACATAACACTCTTTTTCCTGGAACTATTGCTGAAAACAGGAACATTTACATGATTCTTCAGCATATCTGTTGCAGCTAAGAAGCTGACATTTTTGTGAAGTAATATTGGCATTCAGCTCATACTATCTTTTCAATACCTAGTTCCTCTACATTAAATTCATGAAATGTTAAAGGCAGATTTTTTTGTCACGTGTTTGTAGTTAGTCTTGAATTGTTTTCTCTTCGAATTGTTTCAGCTTGATTTGTTTTATGGAAGATATCCGCTTTACTCAGAACTGCTTTTCCTTCGCAGCCACCCAACCTCTTCCTCAGTGCCGGTGCTCACATATAGTCCCTGCAGTTCAGCAACAAATGGCCATTTACTGCCCACTCCGACCAGAGGGAGAAGTTTAGATGGGAGTAGGAAAGAAAATAAAACAGTGGCCTTCAGTCAGCACGTGTGTGGGTGGCTGTAAGGGCTTTGCCTGAAAGTTACCACAAAAAGCAATCCACGTTAGAAACATCAGTCTGGCCTTATCTCCGGAGAACACGGAGCTTTCAAGCCTAAAGACACTGGCACATCTATTCAAACAATTACACAGAGGTGGGGTGTGCAAGCTATTTAAACAGCTGGGGGCTCTTCATTGTGCACGGCTGCTTGTCAGGAATTCCGCAAACCTGCTCTCACATGCACCTGGAATTATCACCTTCCACAGCCGGACTAAGGAAACTCAAAGGATGAAAGGCTATCGGCTGTTTCGCTGCTCTGCGAAGATCATTGCTCCCCTCCCTGAAATATGCCCATAGTAACATCAACAMAACAGCTATCCCTTGCAAAGCAATGACCAAAGCTTTCCTCGGGGGCTGGAGGGAGCTCGGGATGGGGCACAAAAGCAGCTCAGCTCGAGAGGGGTGCTGAGGCGAGCGTGGCTGCAGCGCGGCAGCCGAGCAAACCAGCAACCCCAGTCTGCTCGTGGCTTCCCCCTTGGACCAGGAAAGTAGGAAAAACATTAAATACAGCGGGTGCTCTCCAGGCASCACACACACAGCACAAGCAGGGGGGCGCCGGGCAGATCTGCTCAAAGGGAAGAGAGAGGCCAACGTTTTCCAGCTTGTTTAACAAGGATATCTGTAAAACCAGAACTGCCTTAGAGAAATACAAGCTATGTTATTTGGTGAAGGATAAGAGGATATTCTAGTTTTACAAGCAAGTGTTGTCTCCTCCTTTTTGCTAGCAATGTCTGAGGTGTGTCTTAACATCAGCCATGTAAAGCTGCTATAATCTCACGTGGAAGAKACCAGGAGAGAAAGAAAGTGCATCTTCTCTAGCACCTTCTGCCAAAGCTGCTGACAAACATGCATTAATTTAGCTTCAAAACACAGCTGGGAGATGCTGAAAAGGACACATATATCCTTACTACACAATCCAGAGAAGAAAAAAATTCAAGGGATTAAAGGGCAAGACTTTCAGAAGCAGAAACATGGAGAGGCAGCTCCTTCMGATGCTCACTCAAGGGGCCTTATTTCCAGAGGTGTGGTGCCCACAGCAGGCTCTGCTGCAGCTCTGAAATGCACCACGCAGAGCGTGGCCAACTGCAGATGCTTCCACCTCCCAGGCTGATATTTTAGCTGTAAAAGCATCTTTCCTTCCAGCATTGTTCTGATAGACACCTAGTTTAAACTAAATCATTACATTAAATTTGTATGCTTAACAGTATCTAACTGAAAAAGAAATCCAATTTTGACAATTTAAAGGAAATCCAGAAGATATTAAATCACATTCCTGCCCAAAACTCTTGACATTGTGTAAACTTTCCTGCTCATGCCCTCATGCCATATGATGCTCATTAATCAAATGAGATCATAGGGCTTTAAAAACACAGGAACATAAACACACACTGTGACGCTGGGACGGCGAGAAACGAGCTGCTCTGAGCCCTGGGAGGAGGAGAGGAGCTGGCTGTGCGGCCACGCAGGGCACCACAGCCACGGGCAGCCCTAATTCCTGTGACCTGTGCACACGGAGAGCAGAGCTGCGTCCCGCTTTCCTAAGGAACATCCCCAACCCTGCAGCAATGCAGACTCCTGGCTGGCTCCTGGAGGAGTCTCCCACGCGGAAGCTCTTTCCTAAGCGCAGGACAGTGTTGTCTGAAGCAAGAGAAATCCCCATAAATACACGGAACACCCCATGAATACACTGGTGAAAGCAGATTGGCTTCTTAAATAGCAGCAGTGTTATTGCAACGTTATGATGCATCTTTCCCCTTTATACTGGGAAATTTCCTCCAGAATTATCGAAGGACTAATCTGAGTTCTAAAATTCCAGCATTTTGGAACAGGTCTTTTCTGCCTGGACCCGTGCAGATTTCTGGAGTTATTCTTAGGAAGTTTTGCTGCTGTTTTTTGCCCAGGGATTTGGCCACGCTGACATTGTCCAGACAGATCTACTGCTATGTTGTCTTAATGCATTTAATAGTCATTAGCACTGCTGTGGTCATCACACCTATGAACTTTTATGACTTTTAAGCAAAACTATATGTAGCCTGATAATGTATTGATCATGAAAAAGTCAAATAGCATACACTCATGATGTTAAATGGCTGAGCAAATGGTGCACATGTGTTTTTACTAACTCATATTGAAATGTCATATGCAAAAATGGCCAGAGAGCCTTTTAGCACAAATGGTTTAAATGCATTGCATAGCATGAAGAATTATGATGCTATGGTGAACGGCTTACACCTATCATCTTACCCACACATTCTCCTTGCCTGTTGAGTATAAAGCCCTCTGCACAGATCACTCTGTGGCTGACACAGGAGAATGATCCCAATGTGTTCACACATAATTGTCTTCTGGAACAAGCGTGAGCACCTGCGAGGCACTCATCCAAATCTATAGCAACATATTGTGACCAAAAGGGAAAACCAGAATTCTATTAGAATGATTTCTGAAATGAGACAACTTTTCTTTCACACACTGGAGCTCTCTAAATGAAGTGTGTTGGAGCTGCTACAACAGCACCATACTGTAATATTCACAGTGTTACAGTGAAAACAGGCCTGGAACAGAGCTTTAGCAATCACCTCGTTCTTGCTCTTGCCCCTGCACCTTTGTCACTGCAGAAGGAACCGTTCTCACAAAACAGGCAGCAACACAGATTCCCTGCAGAGCCTTTCTAGAGAGCCCACTGCAGAGCATCACCCCTCACACCTTCACAGACACCTCTAACACAGACTACAGGTGCCCGTTACTGAAATCTAAACTCATTACCTCCCACGGCATTTCTGAATTTCTTCACCTCCTGTGGGAAGGAGGCTGCCTTGAAATGCCCATTTTGATTCTGACATTAATTAATCAAATTAGCTTCCACCACACTTGAGTAAGCAGTGCAGAGTGAACATTTATCTTGCGATATTAAATTCCCATTTTCTTCACAGACTATCTGGAATTTCAGCAAAATGATTTGTTATTCAATAACATGCAAGATTAAGAGTGATGTGGATCACTTATGAACAATTCTGAGCACCAGAAGCTTCTATTTGCTGGCTGCTCTTGGTCCCACACTTACAGATTTATAATTAAGGTAAGTCATAAAGCATTGCCTCTGACTCCCACATCTTTGCTGTACAAAGGCTGTCCAAACATACCCTGGTAAAATGTATATAATGTGAATGACGCAACTTTGAGATTCACTGTTCGTCACCACCCAGGCCTGGGCATGGGTGTTGGGGGAAAATCATGGAGTGATCGTGGCTCGTAGGGACAAGCTCTTCAAATTGGCGGAGCCTCGTGGCTCAGATTTTCAGGGCAAGCAGAAATGCCAACAAAACTGGCAGCGGGGCAGGGCTCTGGGGGTCCCAGGGACAGTGACAAACCGGCTGTCAGGGGAAGCTGCCCGTGCACAGCTGGACACACGGCAGCAGGACAGGGCAGCTAGAAGGGACAGAGGCATCAAGAGCAGGAGGCCAGAGGAGAAGAGCAAAGGGTGACTGGGCAGCAAAACCTGCCGCTTGCCTTCGCACGCAGCTCTCCATTAACAGCCACGCTGGGTAGATGTGCTGCACGCTTGCGTGCCAAGCACAGCTGCTACTCCTTCTGCCAAATCATTTCAAAGGCAGGAAGGTTTTCTCCATGCTGCCACTTGTGCACTTCACAGTGCTTACAGGAGAGAAGCTTTAGGGAAATACCTACAGGTCTAGTTTTAGTTCTGTCTTCGTGGCGAATCTCAACCACTTACCTTCACAAGAAGTCCCATCAGACATGATAGTATATCCAGACAAACAAGAGCAAACAACATTTCCTTCCACAACACTGCAGATGTGCTTGCAGGGGCCATTATCTATACAAAGCAAAATTGCAAAAATATATTAAATTTTACAACACAGTTCAGCCATAGTTCCAAACCTCTGGGTCACACAAATATAATCCCAGCTTTGGCAGCAGGAAACCAACTTTGTAAACATCTGTTCCGGGAGCCTCAATCACGACTTAGAACTTGTGCCCCTCCTACCTACATTGCCCACGTTATGCTGCACAGCTGCACTGCTTGTCCTAAACTAAACAGCAAGGGTGTAATAACCCTGAAATCAGAGCATAGCCTCAAATTACCTCCTCATGTTTCTCCTGACAATCCTTCTTATGCCAGAGGTAACAAATTAAGGGTGTGTGCTGAAACCAGATTGGGGAAGGGACATTTGAAACTTTTTTCCACCCTTCTACCCATTCCTCACCCGTCTGTTCTGCAGTTTGTCTGTCTGACSTACCTTTACACTTGTCCTGCTCTTCCTGTACGGACACAACGAGCACAGGTTGAGCCGGAGAGGCGGCGGGAGGGACAGTGGCTTCTGCTTCCAACTCCGTCACTTGTCTTCTGTTGGGATCTGTAAGGCAGAGTCCGAACCTGGATGGATCATCACATCCATCCAACATCCCAAGCCACGAGTCCCCATCAGACCCTTCATCCCAATCCACTGTGGTTTGTCACAGGAGGAAACATTCTAGCAACCATAACTGTCCGAAACTGTCCATTTCATAACAGTTACAAAAAGCTGTTACCTCCATATGAGTAATCTAATTTCTAAATATCATCAAAATGGAAGCCTGAATCCATATGGTTCAATTCTCCCTTAAGAGGGATTTGCCCCATTCCTTCTGGTTTTAGTGCAAGTGACACATGGAGCAAAGTGTGAGCCACCAAGCAAGGACCAGTTCCAATTTCTTTGGCAGCTTCCTGCAGTCCTCACTCATTGCTCATCTCCCTTTCATAGGAGCCCAACTCTGAGCCTGCACCTAGGCCAAGACTTGTGCTCGATGGACCAAGGTTCATTGCGTTAGGCTATGTGTCCTGGGTTGCCCCACTCCTTCCACGTGTCTCCTCSACACCCGGCCTTTGCCTCCCTCCTGCACCCAGGCTGAGCTTGGCAAACTCTCTGCACCACGGGCCTCGCAGACCCGCAGGGCTGCCCAGAGCACCGACCACCCAGAAACCAAAGGCATTAGCCCCAGAGTCGGCCATGGGAGAAACCAAGCAAAGCAGGACGAAAATATACACACGCCCCAGGTGAGGCCAGCAAGGCACATTTCGCTAMGCTAAAATAAGAACTGTTATCTTTACCTCTTTTGGATTAGGCTCTTTCCCCAGAATTTTAACACAAACAACAGAGCAGAGAGCTGCCACGGAGACACATTACTGATGCGAGCGCTGTAACATCACGTTGAGAGGAATGACATAGCGAAAGCTCATTGTTTGTCTTGGGTCAAAAGCATTTGAAGTCTAAAGAATTTTGTCATTAGATGGCAACACTTCTTTTGCTTATTAAATAACTGAAAGCACTTGTAACTAATCTAAGGTTTTGACTTTTGAGATTATCTGATTTGACATCCTGCCATSGGAGAACTCTAGACATCAAAACAATTACAGCACAATAGAAATTCTTTACAAGACTTCCACCACTTAGATATATTTAGATATTATGTCACTGAAAGATGTTAATGATTTTATGGAAAATTAAAGTTCAGGAAGCAATGCCATGTGGCTGAACTGAATAAAGTTTATCTAAAGGAAAATTAACTGTGAAATACAAAATGAGTCATTGAACAAAACGTATTTCATTAGTTTTTCAGGTTTGTTTTTTTTGGTTTGTTTTACAATAACAATAAAAAGTTACCTGAACACACTAAACGCCCACCCTGGTCTCATGGCACAGATACATAAAAATTAATAATCATGTAAGATTCTTGAAAGGGCATTCTTCCCTACATTATTAGCCTGCCTGTTGTCCAGGGAAAATATGTGTGCATTGTTACCCATAAAAAAATCTCAGGCTAGGATATTCAAAGAAATTGGAAGGCTTCAGCTCATTTAGGTTCTTTTCAAAAAGTYGTGAAATCTTATTTTTTCAGTTTCATATACTATTCAGTGCTAACAGGGAACTGAAGAAATTTTTCATCCTTCTCTACTTCTCACTCTTGGTGGAGAATCAAGAGTTGGAATTTTTAAAAATTAAATACATAATAAGAAAGCAAGCAAGCAAGCAAGAAAACAAGAGAGAAAATCCTGAGATAATTACCAGCAAAAAGACCTGAATAACAAAATGGTCAAAGGCTCAGACTAGGCCTTCTTCTGATAAAGGATTTTTTTTCAAATTATTACTTCCCCTATTTTTCCAAAATCTGTGCTTTTCTATCCTGTAATTATCCTGAAGGTTTCTGAGCAGAAAAACAAGTAAGATCACAAATTCTCACATGGAAAGTAGACCTTCCTTTTCTAGAAGGAAGGCAGGAAGATGACGATCTAACTCTCCYTTAGTTACTAGGGATCACTGAATAAGGTGAGCTTCCCAAATCTAAACTTGAATGTCTGAACAGCTGCCAAAAGGAATTTACAGAACCTGGCTGTTCCGTATAGAGACAACACAGGAAAGTTGGTAGATCAGTGAAAGTGCAAAGCCCAAGATACCATCACTCATGGTTTCTTGCTCATTTTCTCACCTGGAGAACAGCTGATCCCATCCTCTTGCAAAGTGAACTCAGGGAAACAGGAACACTTGTAAGATCCCACCGTGTTAATACACAAATGCTGGCAGAGCTCCCCACCRTAGATGAGACATTCATCCAAGTCATCTCCAGGCAAGTTATTTGACAGTTCAGCTTCATTACTGATGGACAAGGCTTCGTTGTGATCGTCAGTCTCTGAAACTAACAGCACAGCAAAACACACAGTTTTCTAACAACCACTTCTGGCATTAGCACCATGCGACAGGGAGCATTTGGTGCTCTACCCTTGTCCTGCAAGGCTGGAGAGATGGAGGCTTTACCAGAGGCACTGTGAAAAAGGTGACCTTGGAAGGTCACACAGGATATCCCCAAGGTTAAAGACTGAAAAATACTGCAATTCATAACGGGTACCCAAGAGGGTGCTGCTCAAAGGAACATGAGCTCGGGCTCATGGAAGAAGTGTCGCTGTCTAAACTGCAGATTTGCCCCTCTGGATTTGCTAGCCCTCTGGCTGCAGGGATTTGACTTTGCTCTTTGGATCTCTATGGGCATGTGTGGAACRAGCAAAAGAAAACCTGCGTAGCTTGCCATGCTCTGCTGCGTCTCCAGTGCATGCAGTGGAGTGGGAGAAGTGCTATGATGTTCAGTGCTACCCTTGTCTTTTTAGCTCACTGGGTTAGGAAATCTGTTCCCAGAAGGTTTCTTTGGGACTATGTTGGAAAAAAAAATCATAATTACTTTCATGCCGACTCTTTCAGGATTTTTGCTGCTGAAAGACATTGACCAGCTTCACCTTTGCATCCTACATGGAGCTGGAACCTTCTTGCCCCTCAGTAGTCTAAAAACATCTTTTTTAAAAAAATATATAAAAATTAAAAGGAAAGAAATAAAAGGCAGAGAATCTGCCAGGTAGGTCTCACCTAGCTGGCCTTCACCCTGTGCTCTGCAGTGTGTGACTTTAATAAACATTTCTCTCTCAGAGAACATTTCTTATTTCTGGAACTTACTTCTGTACTCCACGACTGAAGGTGAGAGGGGAGAAAAAAAAAAGAAAAGGAAAGAAAAAACCACACAGGCTAAAAAGCAGGTATGTTACAAACCTCAGAAACACTGACATATTTTTTTCTTTTTCAGAACTGTTTGAAGAACTCTACGCTTGACCTGAGCGCAGCCTGTGCTGCTGTAGCAAGATTCCTACCAACACCTCTCTTCATGAACATGTGAGATAGGGAGCCTACCTGCAACTTCTCCTCATTGCTAACGAAACACTTACCCTTCTCCGGTGTCACCGTTGGCAGAGGCTCAGGATGCTTTTTTATTTCCGGATGAATAAAGTGATCCCCTCCTTCGCAGCAGGAGAGCATCACGTGGCTGCAGGGGTAGCCCAGGTTGATGTTGGACTCGCAGCTTTTGCCCTCGCTCTGCAGGCGCAGGCCCAGACTGCARCAGTCACAGCATTGCTGCAACACAAGCACCATCAGCACCGGCTCCAGAGAGGAGCCCACGCACACACCCGGAGCCAGTGTGCGCCTTCTCTAACATGGAGCACCTGCAAAAGCACTTAACGTTTAGGGCTGCAAACCTCAGAGCTTTCCCTGCGCTCGTTTTGGCCATCCCTGCACAAACAGCCTGRTCACAGCCAGGACACACGGCTGCATTTCAGCAGCTCTGCAAGGAAGCAAGTTGTGCTGCAGACCACCTCTTCTCAGCTCCCGCACACAGCCATGACCATGCATATAAGTAAAACAGTACAGATATATGCTCCTACGCTCTTCAGTCTAGTTAGCTCTCTGAGGCAATGCAAAAGGAATTTAAAATAACTTTATGTAGAAATTAGGAGCACTGGCAGTGCCCAAGCTCCATCAGTGTGACAGTAAACAGTGTYTGCTCTGTGCATTCCTGCCCTGCACACCCACTGTAGCCTCTCACGACCTGAGCGTCCTGGGCACCATGGAGATGGGCTGCAGAAAGGCCAGGATATGTGTTAGGGCTGATGTGCGTTTCTAGTCCTTTCACGACTGCTAAAGCACAAATGGAGTTTGGCAGCAGGTCATTGCAATGGGTCACCCCAAAACACAACCTCCTCCGCAGACTTCTCCGGTGCAGGAGGATGTAAGTGAGGCTGGGCTTTACTTAGCCATGTAAAAATCTGCTGCACAGTTGGACCACAAAAGTACACCAGCCAAATTATAACACATCCCAAATATGATTCAAAGARTTATTTATGCAGAGTGGCGCTCTAATTAAGCAAGGAAGCTGAGGAGCAGTACTACAGAGACATAGAGAGATCATATGTGAATAAAGATGCTTCCCTGGATTTGTAAGTGATGTCSTGACATGCCTAATATGCAGATTTAGATGCCAGACATCAACTATTCTGACGGAATAGTTACAAAATGCCCAGAGATGGAGTCTCTTTGCCCGTGGAAACCCTTCTTTTTAGCCAAGACGWCTAGGACGGCAGCACCCATTACAAGTGGCAGCTCCCTGGCAGCTCTCCGAACCCCAGTGCTCACTCCGAGTGATTTCAGATGATTCAATACTCAGGCCACAACCAGATGTCAGATGCTGGTCATCACCCAGCCTGGCACCAGTTAGTTAGGCCAACACRGAGTCTAAGAAGGAAGAGAGGAAACGGAGCCGAGCTGGCACCTCCCTGGAGAGGGATCTCTGGCCTGGGGAGAGCCCACAGCAGAAGCGGCACTGGGAGAGCAGGACACGGTATGGAAACGGATAGGGATCACATCTCACAAGCAGCAGYCCCAGAGCGGTGTGAGCACCAGGACAGGCTCTGTCTCCACCGGGAGACAGGGAAACCCGTCCAGGGAGATCCCGACCCGCAGCCCCGCTCGGCAGCCCGCCGCCCTGCAGCTCCGGGGATGCTGCACCTTCCTGCCGACACGCTCAGCTCCAGCATCTCCCGCCCGCTCAGCCCAGCACCTCGGACACGGCTCTTATTTTCACTCCTTCTTGCCAATCTGAATGGCCCCAACTAAAAAAATAAAGTGATTCACATTTATAAATATGCAAGCCATAAAAAGCCGTCATTTTCCCCAAGGAGAGACTGATATCAGCATCCAAATATGTATTTGGGAAASACTAGAGAGACTGACTCAAAAAATTATTGAAAAAAATCCAGCTATAATGGATTATCATCTTGCTGGAAACCAGGAAAATCCTTTTATCTTCCTCACATTTAGAATATTCAGTTCAAAATTTTATGAACTAAAAATTTTACTTTGTAAATATTTTCAGATTTGATGTAATTTTCTAGTTTCAACATTCAAAACAAAGGAAGTTAATGGTCATATGTGTGTTTTCTGAAGTGCTGCTTACTATTGAAGTTGTTGCCATGAAAAATATGGTGTTTTTTTTTTCAGTCATAGTTTGATTCACAGTTTAACCCATGTGCAAGCATCACAGTAAGTATTAAACTGGTTACACACTCCTGAGTTCCTATATTTTCCAGATGAAAGTGCTCATTTCCAGTGAAAAACGTGTTTGCTAAAAAGTCCCTTCCAAAACACAAAACTGAAATAGTTTTAATATTCTACTTACCATTTCTTGAACTTTACCAGAATTCTACAACTGAATTAATAGCAAATACTACTGAATTTACATTGACATTGAGACTATTTTTGCATCAACATTGAGAAACACAACTTGAGAGCCACTGTTTAACTCGTAACCTTTTGTGTTCTTCCCCAAAGCATTCCTGCAATCCAGCACAACGGGGCTTCCCTAAAACCAGGTGCTATTTTGTCTTACAGGARACAACATGGAAAACCGGTCCATGGAAATACTGGCAACTGTATTGAGCACAGGCTCACAACCTAGRGAAAAAGAACCCCCAGACAGGAGGAAAGGCTTTCCCAGGTGCCTGGTGAATGTCCCAGTGAAAATCTAATAATAAAAACTCCTCGCATATCAGGGTTATTCATGCCTGCTCCCTGATGCGCATGTTCGCTGCTTTCTGCTTTGTCTTTTAATGGCAGACTGCAGGCCTGAGTAAATGACAGTTTGGAAAATGACAAATTGTCACAGTTAATTAAACTTTAGCTGCGCAGCACACGACCGCATATTTCCCTTACGAGTGAGCAGTTATTCACAGGGGTCACTGATGGATAAGAACAGACAGAACTAATAAGTTTCCTGCTGAGACAACGGAAGCGGCACTTAAGCCTAGATATAGTTATGTAAATTATTATCAGAGCTAAATGAATTCTGAAATGTACCCTTCTGGTAGAAACAAGAGAGGTGAGCAGGCAAGATGCTGAATCTTCAGATTGGTTTAAATTGTTTTGGCTCCATTGATTCATCTAAAGCAAATCTCATTTACAGCAGCTGTAGCAGGGGCTCACGATTTGTAATCTGACCCACTGGTTAATGGTCTGCCTTTATTTATGAACAAAAGCCTCCATCATCATTGSGAACGCTTGCTCTTCTAGTTCACTGTTTTGTTTAACTGAGAAATGAGACCGCTCCTCAAAACCCTGGCCAAGCAAACTGTTCAGTAATGACTTTCCCCATTAAATCCTTGATTAAGGTTGGGCCCATCGTTTTCTGAAGTCTTCCATATCATAGACAGAAAAATCAAAATGTCCTTTGCAGCTACTTCTAAAGCAAAGGCAAAAAAATTAAAGGCAAAAATTTTCTGAAATCACCATTACTGGGAAATTCCAAAAGGGGCTGCATCCACCAGACAACTGAAAACTAAACAAAACAACCCCAAATCCATAACTCTGGGCAATTTTCCTGCAACCTTAAAATTCACTGGGCTGCACAGTACTGTCCAAAGCAGTTGCTGCTCAGCGCCGGGCAGCAGGGAGCTCCCAGGCGGAGCACGGGCGGCAGAGACTCACCTGGTAGGCGGAGGCGGCGCAGGCGGCGCTCTCGTCGGGGCCGCACGCGGCGCCGGCCTTGGCGGCCAGCATGCCGGCCAGGCAGCTGCTCTCCCGCGCCGTGGCCACGCAGCACTGCTTCTGGGCAACCCTGCAAAGCACCCGGCGCCCAGCGTTAGGGGGAYGCGGCGGGACGCGGGCCACGACGCGCAAAAACCACCCGGCTACGGGAGCCACCGTGCGCCCCGCGATCGGTCTGGTCTGTGTGTCGTTGCTAATAAAATACAGGTTGTGTCATTGACCTTCACGGGACTTAGTTCTAATTCTCATTTTGAACATGCATGCTAAAGGCKCATGAGCTTGGGTCACTACCTGTCAAGCTCTGCTCGGGGACATCCTTTTCAGCTCCTCTCTACTTACGCTAAAGTCCAGGGTCCCAGTGTTTTGCTCCTCAGAAAGCAGAGGATCCCTCCTATCTGCTGGCCCAGTGAAGGACAATGCACCCGTACATGGTGGCTCCTTCAGCAGCCAGGGCTCCAGAGCCGCTGCACGACGAAGGGGAGGTATCTTCCCAGCTAACATGAAAWACATCACCAGACCCATCCAAACCCACCTTTGCACCCAACCTTCCTGCAGAGAGACTGCCAGCCGGAATTCAATCCTTGCTCCGACTCAGGTTATCGAAGACAAGCTCATGAGTGTTATGATTGCTCCATATAAAGTGCCTATAGTGTGTACATTTGCCATAGCTGGCTCARCATTTACTGAGATTCACTCAAGGTTGACATGAAGCAGATTCAAAGCACAACTAAATGGCAATTGCCAAGTGCCACTGAATAGCAGCTCATGAGAAAACCTTTAGTATTATTTTAAACTATTATTGCTTTCACAAGACACCCAAACTTTCTAAAAAGAATTAAACATACTGAAAGCTATAATGTTTTCTGGAAATGGCAAAATACTGCAAAGGGGGTTTTATGTGAAGGGTTTACAGCATGAAAACACTGAAATTTGCACAGATTCATGTTCTTCAAAAAGGTAGTATTTAGACATGAGATATTCTTTCCTTGTGTGTGAAATACATCCCAGAAAAATATTACCTGCAGCATCACTAAACTTTTCCTTATTTTCCTAATTTCCTAATTTTCCTGATTTATTGGTTCAAAGAATATCCAGAACATTTCAGAGAAAACCTCCCAAGCCATTGCAAGTGCRAGGATGCCTGTATCTGCAAGTAGGACACCGAGCCTCGTTCCAAACATGAGATACAACCTACTGTACTGGGTCAGATCCAGTTTCGGGAAGCCCAGGAGCCTCCCTCCAATGCAGCTGGCCGCCTCTGCTCACATCTTGCGATCAAAGGCCCAGCTAGGCCTTTGTGACTTGCTTTGTTTTAACTTCCTTCATCTAATTACCACAGATGATTTCTTTCTGGTAAGCTCAGCTGTAGCCAATGTCTCTGCCTCAAAAGTCATTCTGAGGGAATTTTTTCCGCTTGTTTCTTTAGAGTACTACTGTGTCTGTGCCATCAATGGAAGCAATCATGGTACATTTAAAAAGGCTTCAAATAAGCACTATTTATTTTACTGTGCAACATTTGAGAAGTCTAGAAAAAAGGGACATGTGTGAAAATTCATACTGTTGTGTGGTGTAGGTTCGTGTATAACCTGTGGGCAGGAAAAAACAGTATTTGCTTGCGTCGTTCTGGCACACGAGGTGGTACAYGCTGGTACAGGGACCTGCATGGCAAAGGGCTCTGCACGCTGACCTAGCTCCTCAGGGCAGCAGCATTTTCTACCTGTGTTTTCAAGTTTTTGAGRCCATGAATTTGAATATTTCTCTACAAGGATCATTTTCTTCACACAGAATATTCAGGGGTGTTTCTTAAATCTTTAAAACAGGGATGACACAACTGCAATTTGGAAAGTAAAATAAATGAACTCCTGATGTTRTACCATGAGATTCACAGGGACTAATGCATTTTGAGTCTGGCTTTTTCATCTAAACCCAGCCTCAGATGTGCAGGTGCAATTCATTAACGTACTGGATTTGCACTTACTTAGGCCGCAACGTGAATGTTTTCATCTGCCTTTACTTCACAGACAGTTGGCATGTGTCAGTTATGTCATACTAAATGCAGCGGAGAGGATTTCACTCTCACAGCCACTTTGCAAAGGTGCAATGAAGTCAACTTTTATAAAACTGATTACATCAAGCACCTTTCATGCTGAAAATTTGGGATTGCCCCTTGAAGAGTCCACCCTGCTTCTTCTGAAGTGCTCGAGTCCCAGTTAGCTTTGGTTTCAGCCCTCCAAAGGCTTGTTCCAGACAAGGGGGAGGCAAAGCAGAGATGGGAGAGAGAGAGGGAGAGAAACAAATGCAGCAAGCACAGTGCAGAGCCTGTGTTAGTCCAACATTTTCCTTCTTGTTCTGTGCAGCTTGAATCTGGCACCTTGCTCAGACCAGATGCTATTGAATCCAGCAGCATTATCAAGGCGTCTGGTACCCTCCAGCTGAATAAAGACAGCAGAACCAGCAGCTATTCATATTGGCCAATAAACATATCATTTAATGATATGGATAATCATTGCATTTAGTACTTGCCAAATGGAAGACAAACACATTAAGCTCCTCTGCCCTTCTATTTATCTGCAATTCCACAGATGCGCATAAATTCAGAAAACAAAAATATGCTCACATGGCGGGGAAAGAAGAAAACTTAAAAGGCTTTTGTTTAGATCAGATAACAGAAAAGGGAGTAAAAGGCAGGGGAAAACCTTCCTCCTAATGTGCCAGGACATATTGACAGTCTACCAATAAATAACACGCTAAATGAAGCAGTTCCTGTCTCCTGAAGATCACATGAATTGACCAAGCATTTGGTTTATTCTAATAGGTTGCTTGCTAAGTTAATCTGTAAGRCCCAGGTGTTGAATTACATACCTGCAAATATCACCGTCCATCCCGCTGACAGGAATCTCCGTGCATTCTCCATTGTCTATAGCCCACTGCTGTCCGGCTCCACAGCAGCTTTCAATCAGTTCCTTTGTGGAACCTGCAGAAAACACAYACATTTTGCATGGCATGGATTGGGCTGTGGTTTTGTTTTCTTAATTGAGAAGAGACTTAAAATAACAGCAGTTAAGTATTTCGACACATTTCATTTGGTAATATGCAAAATAATTGGATCACATCACACTTCCAACATCGGAGAAGGCTATAACATTATCAGGGAAAGGGAAGAAAAAGGGTTCTTGCCAAGCTGATCCTTTTGACATACCAACTCCATCAAAATCAACAACTATTTTGATACCAGCTTCCAACGGGATCAGAATTTGGGCTTAGTCAGTCTTCAAGTACTCAAGTTTGTTTAATGCGTTCAAATATGCTCTTACAAGGCTCAATTCCAGGTTTTTCGAAATTCAAACACACAAAAAATCTATGTAGCAGTATAACAGTAACCCACGTCACAGTGTCCTTTTCCATTATTCAGAAGGGTTTGTCTGACACTGAAATTCATTGGGCTGCATTTTAACCTATCAGTGTTTTTACAAAGGTGCAACACTCCTAATGCAGGAGAATAACTCAGCCAACAGCTGAGAACTCCTAAGGGCCAGAGCCCAAATACACTTCTTAAATGGTCCAAGTCAATGTATGACAATGCAAGAGGTATTTTGGTAGTATATTCTGTCCAGAGGACATTGCAGGGGCAGTGTCTTCTAGCAGTGACAGCCCAATGGAGAAGCACCAGCCCTCTGTGTTAAATAAACCAGAAAGTGGAGGRGTCTTCTGACCCCCGCAGTAACGTGACATCACCCAGCAATGTCCCATCACCCAGGAACAAGAACAACCTGCGGTGCCTTCCTCAGCACAGGCCCTTAAAAGCTTAACAAGAGGGTTTTTTGGTAATTTCACATATGTAGCATTATGAAATTGTTTTCATTATGAAATTGTTTTCATCGGGTCGATGAAACAATTTCACTCGTAGGCCACTCTCCTAGAGCACATACACCTAGGGGCTCCTCACGCTCAATTTGATGCTTCAGTTAGTTTAAGCCATAACAAAAAGGCTTTGAGACACATAACTGTGCTGCAGCTCAGCTCGTGTAAAACACTGGCACGGGCATGTAAACACGGAAATGTTGAATGCCACAGGACTTTACATATTTTTCCTTCTAGACTTGCATGTAAGTAAATTTTCTGGCTAAAGCGAGACACCAGCTAAACAGGAGGCTTTGCAGCGCCGGGATATCTGCTGTGCAGAACAGACTCAGGCCAGGCCAGCAACAAGCAGCAACTCCTCCCTCCAGTATGCCACACTTGCTGGAAAAAAATCATGACAGGATCCTTTCTTCTGCCTGCAGTTGATACCCAGTGTCACGGCACAGAGCCTTGCTTCGCAAAACTGCAGTGTTTCCCCGCAGGGAGAYGGTGGCAGAAACGCCCGCGGTCGAAGCACGCGCGGCCCCGCGGAGCTGCTCGCCCACCTCGGAGCAGCAGCAACGGGGCTCCCAGCGCCGTCCCTGCAGCTCAGCGGCCCCAGAGCGAGATGAGGAGGTTCAAGTGAAGCGTGGGGCTGTCCTCCGTGTTCAGAGATTTGGCACTTACAGAAGTCATTTGTCTCCTCTAGGGAAGACTCTTTCTTTGCACTTCCTTAGAGATAGTTTAGGAAATAGCACTAGATTTTGGAAACAGGAAGGTCTGCCTACCTTATGAAAATCAACTAGAAGGTTTAAAAACCTCACACACTAACACAGAACTTTCTATCCTAAAAAGTCTGTGAAGAAAAAAAAAGGCAATTTAAAAAACTGTATGAACAACATGCAACAGGAAGGGAAAAGAGAGGGAGAAGAGCTCAGAGAGCCAGGGCCTCACTCCCAGGCACCGTGCGAGCCCCAGAGCACCCGCGTTTGCCGGGCCGAGCCCTGGGTACCGCTGCGGGCGCTGCATGACACACAGCCTCGGGAGGGTCCAGCAGCAGGAGGGAGTCACGGCACCACGGACAGCACAGACGTCCTCCCTGCTGCCCACAGCCTTTATTCATGCGTTGAAAAAAAGCAGGGGAAAAAAGAGCCTTTGCCTTAGAGTTCCGTAATTATTGCCTGGTTAATGCCCCTGCAAGACCCCTGCGCCTCCGGCAGCACCGCCTGCCCCGCCAGGGACCTGGAGAGATGCAGTGAGACCGGGCAGAAAGTTGCTGCCGGATCATTGCAAGACATTCCTGTAACAGCCCTCCAGCTCTGCCCTTCTGCAGTCACTGCTGGAAACTCCATGCATTTCACCRAGCGTAGAAACACAGCTTTTTGCTATTGTTAGTTTCAAAGCCAAAGAATTCAGCAGAACTCACTAATCTATATTAATCTACATGATATATAATTGAAATAAAAATGAGCCCCTCATCGCTCACTGTAGATTCAATATCAGATTGCTGTATTGAAGTGCCATAATATTAAGCAGTCATATTTACAAAATATATTCCCTTTCATTACGATCTTATGAATAATTAAATCTTAAATGGAGTTATAATAAATGAACAAAGTATTGCATTTTATCTCAATCAGAAATTAGAAAAACTGAATTATTCATAATGGAGCTTGCAGTCATTAGCTGGGATTTATGAGAGTTTGATTATACATTAGCAAGCGCAAATACACACAGCTAGATGCACACACATGGCTGAAGACAACACAGCAGGATGGAGACTGCGAGCGACCACAGACTTAGGAACACTGACACATTCAAGTAGGAGGATTTTCAAGGGAATTTTCATGCTATTGGGAGATTTAGATTGGCAGCTGCTCAGTGCACGGAAGTCGTTTTGAGAGCACCGCAGCGGCGGGCAGCGCTCGCAGCGCGCCGCGCGGACACCGCCGAGCCGCTCGCAGACACCGCGGGTGACAGGCAGGTTGTTACAGACGAACCTCCTCGCCTGGCAAAAAGGAAGTAATTTCTCTCAGAACGTACTACAGACCAGCATTGTGTCTCCTCGCTTGTTTTCAATTTAGAAACTTATCTCCTGCAAATTATCTTTCTACATCACCCTGCAGATACGAACTCAAGCGCATTTTGGCCCAATCCCAAAACACCGTGCGTTGCCTTTTGGACACATTTCCAGGCGTGACTTGAGCACGGATGGAAGCAGCTTTCCCGTGTGCATCTTAGCTCACCCTCCGCCTGCCCCACGGCACTGTGCGGCCACGCGGGCGCTCCCAGATCCGCACACTTGCACTGGGACACGAGGGTGCCTGGCATGGGGCTCCGAGACCCCACGTGCTTCTCCGCACACAGACCTCTTTGTTTGTTAGAGCAGGGCTGCAGGCACAAGGGATTTGCAAAGCAGCCTTCCCATCAGCTTATCTCAGCGCTCACTCACTGTGTTTCAAGGATGGAAAACACCAACAAGCTCCATGGCTGGTCAAGAAGAAGCAGAATATTTTAGGGTCCACAGCAAATTAAAGTGTCATAATAAAATAAAATGATTTCCTCTRAACTTTCATTTAGAACATATTAGCAGTTTAATAGCTCCAATTCTGCAGCATGCTTACACTCGCACCTGAGCTTCTCAGCTCTGCACGACACCTGCACCAATGCACTCCTCCCTATTTTGCAGATCCGCCTTCTTCAAGCARTCGTACAGACTCACCGTAGACAAAGAACGGACCATGAGCTGTCAGCCACGTTTGCTCCATCACTCTCCTGCTCAAAATGCTCTGCTCCCTGCTGAGACCACGGGCTGCCCAGGGGTTTTGCTCACACCTTGCGAGGAGCAAACCCTGAGCAGTCACACTGCCCCATCCACCCAAGCTTCCCACCCAAGAGGGGCCGCTAATGGGGTCAAYGGGCCCATTAGCTTCAACAGCGCCAGAATTTCATTCACTTAAAACACATGGCACGTTCTCCTTTTGCTAAATATTTCATACAAACCTTAACACTTTAGAAAGAGTCTTTACAGGTCACTCTTGCCTATGGCGAGAGTTGTGTAGGCACTGTGCAGCTCAGCTCCTGCGAGGAAGCGTACCGCTTCATTCCTATACCCAAGGAAAAGGATTTACTTCCCCCAGAAGTATAGGATTTAGCCTTTGTGGGGGGAAAAAAAAATAAAAATCCAGGCTCTTGGAAGAAAATGAWTTTGTAGATTGAGATTAATTTCGTGGCACTGCTCCCTTGCTTGTGGCCAAGGCGAGGACTGAAACAGAAAGCAGGTTTTTTGGTGCAGCCAATGTTTGCAACTTGGTTCCAGCTCCCTTTGAAAATAACACTGGCAAAGTTTCAACAGGTCTGTGCGTCTCCCACACGTTCCCCTTAGAGGAAGGGCTCCCTGGCTCGGCACGGGCCCCTCTCCAGGGCCGTCGGCTCACACGGGACACACAAGGTGGTTCGTTCCCCTTGCCAATAGCTGCCTTTGCACAGAGAGTCCTGTGCTGCATCAAACAGGGCAAAGACCACACTTAACTGGGGCCCTTTAGGCACTGAAAATACCTATTTTCACAGGTTTTTATAATATATTCCATTTTCCTCCTCTTTGAAAACTTAAAATTAAAAAAAAAGATTAATCTCTACAGATCAATATAGCACAGCATGTCCCAGCTCTCTGCTCCTTCCTCTGAAGCCTCCTGCTTCTCTTCAGAAATCCACGCCTCCATCCATCCACCCACCTAGGACATGTCCGTGCTCTACTGCCTTCGCTCCTTGGGAGGCATCTGCTTTCCATTCCAACCTGAAAATGCTCTGTTTCCTACATTACTCTTTGTTTCATAAATTCCTTATGCTGGCTCGCTTGGCAAAATAGAGGGAATTGTGTCTGCCCAAAGGCACAATGAAAAACCGGATAAAACAAACTGCATGTTCTCATTTTACTACGCGCTGTGCAATGGAGACATATATCAACACAGGCTCAGCCCGCGTGCGGCGTCTGGCAGATCTTGCTCCAAGTGTGAATGAATAGCAACCCTATATTCCCTCCGGCCCCCATTTGGGATAATCCCTCTCAGTCAGAACTTGTATTACCTGTGCCAGAGGTCAGGGAATTTAGGCTATGTTTGGGCTTTAACGTTT